GCAGAAAAGAAGAATAAGCTAGTTAAAGGTAAGAGTAACCCCAAACTCGAGCATTTCAAGCTTGACTGAACTAGCTGGAGCAGAAAGTAATTAGTCTAGACCAGACCAATCGCACCACTCGATAAGATTTTAGAATCGATTCGAAACACAATCGTTAGATCACACCCTTCAACGATCTACAGCGCGAAAAGTTTTAGGTTGCCAGCGGCGACGAAAAGTGCAGCCACTATGCCATCCACAATTTTACTGGGAATACCTTAGATCCCTCAACGGATTAATTCCACGGTACTGCGTAACTCGCTCGATGTTATCCCACTCAACATTCAGTTGACATCAAAATGTGAGGTGAATGTTGAGAGAAAGATAGCGACGCAGGATTGCTAAACTCGAACTCAGGCTTGCTAAACCCGCATTCTGTCTTTGTGGGCGTATCGACGGCTTCGTGTCGGCAGAAATTACCGCCCACCGCGCGGCCGGCAAGGATATTTCACGAGCTTAATAAAGCGCCACTGCTCTGTCGCTTCTAGGTTTGTTCATACAGTTGGGAGCGAAACGCCATCTAACTAAAACAGTATAGTTAGCCCAGATGCCTTTGTTATTGTTATGAGTGGTTAACGCCGCTAGCACTCAGGGTGAGCACTGCTTCAAACCCGCTGACCGGATATCTCTATATCCGGCGGCTACGGCTGTTAGCCGGGTGGCAGGCTACACACATCGTTATCTAGAATCCAAACAAGAAGTATCTAGACAAAAACTAAAAACTTTTTTTGTGGGATCTATCTCTCCAATGCATTTTGAGGCCAGTGTAATCCGTATTGCAGCGCAAGTCGTTGAAGTCTACCAAGTAAACATTGACACTCAAAGATCAATACAAGGCTATCTCAATGCGCGGCCTACTCGCCTGGCAACGCTGCACTAGCAGGAAGAAGCAAAAAAAGGTTGAGATGGCGAATACTTGTATCTAGAAAATCCATATCTTTAAAACTTCTTATCGACTCCGCGAGCTGATCTGTTTCGCCGGTTGATTTGCGGCTGATTTTAGTTGGTGAACAACAAAGGACAATTTGCGGGAAAGTGCCAATATAGTTTTTTTTTTCTTTGCATTAAAAAGATGAATGTGCCTTTTATACCCAATCAAATGAAAAGTTTCCACAATCTGATTGCTCTACCATCTGAGAATTTCCTTTATTTTAGCTTTTTTACGTCCGTATAATTGAGATAAAATTGTAATGGTTTCAGCCATTTTGTATCGTCATGGATCTTGACATATTGTATCGTACCCACCGGAAGCAGCTTGATTATCCTTAGCATTTGGTATTGTTTTTAGAAGGCCCTCTTGATACCTCCAGTACCTCGAAGACGCCCCATATTTGAAACGCATCGCTTTTTGTTTTAGCTCAACAGAAAAAGAAAAATCGAAACGATCGGTGA